CCATTCTGAAGATCTGATATTATTGAATGGTGGACATCCTCTTTCTGCACAAAAGAAAAACAAAAACAAAACTTGAGTTCAACTTTCAGAGAAGAGTGAAAAACACAAGAAACAACAAATGTTGAAAGGTAAACACATCTGCAGAAAAATCCTTATAAATAAATTAGCCCTAGAAACCACTAGCAGAAATCTAACAGGATATTTTAACTAGTAAGACATAATTTTGGAAGCAGATCCAATCTTAGAAAAGAACTTCTAACCTGTTCAGAAAGAAAGTGAGCTGAAACTGAATTCAACGAATATGAACTTAGTTTGTAGTCCCGTTGCATAGCCTACAAGAAAAGGAACAAAAAAAATTATCAATATGAATCTTTAGAATCTCAGATAGAAATTACAAACTCATGAAGTTGAAAAACTGCATGCATAAAACCTGGAGCAAATCAAATTGAACTCTTCCCCCACAGTAACTTCTTTGGTCTCCCTAGTTCCATACTGTCTGTAAAAAAAGCCAGCATCAATAACCAGAAAATATACCTGGAAAGCAACTCTTAAATCAACCAGAAACCCAGAAACCCAGAAACAGACACTGGAAGAAAACCCACGATAGTTATTTATGCTATAACGGAAATATGATGAAACATAATGACAACAGCTCAATTAAAAGTGTCTATTCAACATTTGAAGTTACACAAAATAAATTTTCCTTTTCTATAACCTCAATCTGAAAATTATTGAAGAGTGAATTTCAATAAGGATCTAGATTGAAGAAGCTAAAAGAGAAAGAATACAAGATTGGTTCACAATAAGCTCCTCATATGACCCTTCAGGTTATAGCCTTATAGGAAATAGCGCCTTACAAGGCAAGACCTTTAAACACTGTCGAGGAAACAAAAGTAACTAACTTGGTCATCGGAAAACTATGCAGTAACAAGAAATTCTAATTTGAAAGGAGAAAATTGTTATCTTCAAATTAAATTAACAAGGCAATGAGGAGAGAACAACTAAATTTATAAGGATGTCGTCCATGTTTTCTACTTTTAGGGAGATGATCATATTCTTTGCAATTGCAGTGTGAAGTAATACGATAGGTATCAAAAAGGCAGAAAATAAGGCCAACTGCAGCCTACAGCAGCAATTATAAGAATAACAACCATAACAGATCCTTTACCTTGAAGAAAATGTTGTATCTTTTACACGAACCCTACTATTCCTGATGCGGCCAAGTATGGGAAACTCTGCTATTCCCAACGTTTGTGCTCTCTGTTAACCAGAAAATTAAATGTCAGGTGATTCAATCATACAAGTCCTATACAAATAAAAGGAAACCCAACATAATGAACTAACTAGAAACCTTTGCTGCAGCGACATTCCTGGAGAATAGAACAGAAGGTAGTTTTTAATTTACCTCAATAAGATATGGCAAATCAAACTTGCAAATGTTATATCCAATTATAATGTCAGGGTCCACTTCACGAATAAACTCCTGCAAGCAAAACCTTGTAATTAAAAAAAGGTGCAGTGAAAGAAAGATTTTCTTTTCATGTGAAACTGATGTGAGATTGCCTATGGTCTTCAAGGAACCGGTTTTGTAAAGTGGAAATTGATCATAATATTAGCTTAAGAGCCACTGAGACCTAGAGAAGTAAGTTGCTGGACGTAAACTTAGGGTTACTGATAATATTTTGACGATTTCTGTAGGGCACTTTGGTAAATTGCAGAAAAGGAAGCCTTATGTTTGGCTTGAAGCATGTGTGAGATTTTCATGTTTCCGGCAGTTTCTCAATTCAATATAAATGATTTTAACAAATGGGGCAGAAGAAAACAACATAAAGGTAGAAGAACAAGGGTGAATCGGAAAGTTGCTGAATGAATCTCTTAAAAGGTTTAAAAATGTCTTGAACAACCATGATAAGAAAAAAGAATCACTTATTGAGGAGTTTAGTAATATGCACAAATGGATACCTTCTTTTTTATGCTCAGGTATAAAAGTAAAACAGAGAAGTTTTAAGGACAAAACCAGTACCCTCCAAGCAAGAAAGACTTCTTTTTCTGTATCAAAAGACATTACGTCAACACCAACTATCGGGGAGCATGAATTGAGGGTCATAACATTACGGATCAATGGCTGATCTTCTCCTTGCAAAGTAACTAGATTTGCTACTAGAAAAAAAAAACAAAACAAAAAATCCTCAGAACTAGTGAAAGAAAATGATCAAATAGTTTTCAATCAATCCTTCATCAACATGAAGCCAGGATCCAAAGAACAAACAGAATAGTCAATAACAAGTTTTCCCCAAATCAAATGGGTGATTCAACAGAGGAACAAGACCTGGATTACAGGATCATGAGTAGGCTCTGGAAAATGACCTTTGCGACCAGCACACTCTATATCAAAACTCAATATGCGAAATGGAGCCATCTTTGAGAATTCCCCCTCAGGGGCATGGCTAATCAAATCTGAATACCTAAGAACAATAAGGGAAGAGAATTAAACCAGGAGGACAAAGACAAACAATGAAACAGTTGAAATGCTCTTAATAGACCAAAGAAGAGGTTACAAGCAATCAAACTCCAATTGGCAGCAGGACATATTCCTTGATGTCTTCTTATATTTACCAGCCAGTATCTCAATCCAATTACCACCAACAATGTTGCAATCAATCATGAAACGCAGTGCAAAAAGAACGTTGCTTTCATATGTCATGAAACTCTTCACCAATGCTATCAATTTGTATGCCTCTATCAAGAATGCCTGCAAATCATTGGCGATTAACAAGCCTGGAGATATAAAAAGTACCGTGCAGTTTTCTATATTTCAATTATGTACAAATTAAAGAGTTCATGCCAAGAAGAAAAATAAGTTGAAAATAGTTTCAACTACAGTAAGGCATTTCATGCAGTGAAGGAAACTCAAACAGAATATATATCATACAAAGAAATCAGGATTTTACCACGACAGCTAGCAACCATAGTTGGAAGTGCCATTACAATCTTGAGAAAAGGTTGAGACTTTTGTTGCTGGTAATACATAATACTCCTTTTCTGAACCAATTCAATTCGTCGAACAAACTTTGGTACTCTGCTGTTTTTGTTTTTCTCCTTCATCCTATCCTGGAATAATGTAGCTGAAACAATTAAGAAGCCACTCGCAAGAGGTGAATGTGTAACCTGGGGAACTGGTAAAGCCAAATACCTCAAGGGTTTGATGAAAATGGGAGATATCATCAGGACCCATTCCTGGTGGGCAGTTAATGTAGAAATACGGCTCAAATCCATGAACAAGACAACAAACACTGTGTCCTATAAGTAGCCAATACAAGCTATTCGTCAGATTGACATAAAATTTACAGCTTGGGATTTCGTTAAAATTAATAACAACACGGTCAATAGTATTAATGTCTTTAGCAAAGCTTAAAAGATTTTTGGAAAAAAATACCTTCTCCAGTAACCCCAAAAATTCTGATAATCGCAGCCGGACCAGAAGAATAAGGCAGCAAACCTTCATGACTCTCCCCAATCACATAATCGATCTCCAATTGCTGGAAAACTAAAGCACCGCAGAAAAAAAAGCAGCTCAAATCTTTTCCAAACAACCTTAAAAACAAAAAATTGCACCAAAATACTTGCCCTTTGAACTTACCAATGCTGCGAGACTGGGAAATGTAGGCATTAGAGAGAGGAGGGCGCGCCCACTTCGAAAGACGAAAAGTGAGAGCTTCGCGTTCCTCTAAGTTGCGTAGAATTAGGGATTCCACGTCTTCTTCACCCACAAGGGTTTCGTCAAGGAAGACGTCTTCATCAACGAAATCTTCCTCCGTCGACTGAGGGAGAGGCGTCGGTGCAGTCGCTTGGTGCTTCGTTGCCGGAGATGGCTGACGTGTATACGAAGGTGGTGGCCTCTTCCTTGGGTTGCCGCCCTTGTTCATGATTTGGTGTCGTTTTGGAGTGAAGAGAGACTGACTGGAAACGGAGGGATTTAGGGTGGTTTGGGAGTTGAGAAGAGTGACATTTCCGCCAGTTTTGGAGACATTTATAGGTGAAGGTGGTATCACGTATCATGCACGTGATGGATTTTTTTCTCGATAAACTACACATTTAGTATCTCAAGTATCATTCTTCTTTCGTTTTAATCACTTAATGATAAATTCTATAACAATTAAGAAATATTTGCATCTCAAATCCTAAAAAAATGTGTGATGTCTATTTAAATGTTATTAACATTTCAGTTAAGACTTTTTTATAGTATTTAAGAGAATTTTATTATTAGAATAGATATTAGTTTATTGAAAAATATTATGAGTGTATAATTGTGAGTTCTGTAAGTTGTATTTATAACGAGAGTTAAGTAACTAATGGGATTACTTGAGGGAGAAAATAGCTAGTATACTTCCCTCTAAGCAAGATCATGCAGAGATAGATTCTTTGATTAATTTAAACTACATAAATCAAATATTATTTTTACGTTTTTATTGTTTTTAATAGTTTATCTAATTAATAATTCTAACTGAATTAAATATTGTCGGACACAACTACACTAACAAATATTGTTTACATCAGTATCAAACATATAATAATTAAATTATTTAATTATATGATCCATTGATTAAATATATCAATTTATGCTTACCAAAATTTTTTGAACTAAAAAATGTAGCACCATTTTTGTGAAGCATGGAAAGATTTATATGCCTATAATTTAACTAATAATAAGAATATAATTAACCTAACAACACAATGACTCAATTTATAAGAATTAACGTAAACTAAAAGATACTAATGAGGGCAAAAATGAGACTGAATTTATCAAAAATAAATGAAAACGATATTACCAGTGGTGGGTATATATAATAATAGCACATTTTAATGGAAGGAAATAGTATGTTACATAATTAGGGATGATATTACAAAAATACAGATTTTGTTTTGGTTAGTTAAAGATACCAAAGCATGAGCTAAACGAAACACAAAGTATTACGTTAAAAGAACAACCAATCTTCTATGTCCATGTCCGGAATCATTCATGAAAAATGACACAACTTTGTAGGAAAACTGTTCGTGTCAATACTAAGTGGATTGTACTAGAAAGGGTATCAGTTTTTCGAAGAATTTTTAGCTTCATTTGGGATAAAGTTGTTGTTTGTTCTCTAGGAAGGCCAATTCAATATAGGAGATTGACTCGCCTGGAGTCATCATCATCTTTGCCTTCTTCTTCTTATTCTCTGGTGGAAGTTGTGGCGGTCGATGACGATAAGGCCTTGCCAGAGGGGTATGAAGTGGATTCCGATTTGGTTAGTTTGAAGATCAGTTTGCTAGGTGACTGTCAAATTGGAAAAACAGGCTTTCTGGTAAGCACATGGTTTTTGGTCCTTTCTTTTAGTTCTTTAATGAAATTTCACTTAGAATAAGTATGTTTTAGTGATTTCTTTTTCGGTTTTGAAGGTAAATATGTTGGGGATGAACAAGAGAAAATCTTACAAATGACGGTATTAAATTTAGCAAACAAAACATTATTTGTTCAAGGTGCCAAGATTTCTTTCAGCATATGGGATGTAGGAGGTAAATTTTTTAATCAATAAATTTGTTTTTGATCTTTCAGCTCTGTTCTTCTGCTATGAAGCTCTCTCTCCCCCCCCCCCAACCCCCCGATTATTTGGTTGCAGGTGATAGTAACTCACTTCATCATCTTCCAATCGCTTGTAAAAATGCCGTTGCAATTATGTTTATGTTTGATCTAACTAGCCGGTGCACCCTTAACAGGTTAGCTTGAAAAACCTGTTTTTTAATTGAAAAAAAGGGTACTGAAATTTATAGTTCTACAATATCTACGATCATTTTTCTTTGATTTTGCAGTGTTGTTGGATGGTATAGTCAAGCAAGGAACTGGAATCAGGTACTAAAACCAGTGTTTCCTGAAATATTTTCTTTTTGGAGTAGTTAGGATTAGCTGTTTGGCCAAAATTTTCCACACTTGAGAAAGTGGTATTGATTCTTGAAATTGAAAACATTATTGATGTATGATTGGTATGCAATTTTAAGCTTGGTAATTGACACTTTAGGAAAGAAACTGTACTTTTGTAATGAATGCGAGGAAATGGCTGAATTCAATTTAACAAGGGAAAGTCATTAGATTGATGTCCAATTAAGGCTTTACTGGCAAATAATAAAGAGGATTCATGGCAAGTTCAGTAGTAAGGAGTAAGGACCATAGAATTCGTTCTCCTATTAAAAGGTGGTCTGTATACCAGTAAAGGATTTTATGGAGTACTTAATTCATGATGATTTTGTCTGTTCTTTATACCAGTTCCCCAGTTAAGGGCCTTTTATTCTTATGAATCCTCCAATAATAAGGGATGGTGTTATAGGGCATTACCCTATGTGTTGACTGACATCAAAGTTATTATCCACTTTGGACACCCATTGGTTCCTCAAAATTGTTGTCCTTCGAAATAATATCTCTACACTTTTTTCTCAATATCTTTCAGACAGCAATTCCGATAATAATTGGAACAAAATTTGATGATTTTGTTGGTCTTCCGCCAGATGTGCAATGGACTATTGTGACTCAGGTACAATACTTTTTTTTTCTGCATAATTATTTGTGACAGACCAAAAACCATAGAACCATGTTAAACTCCATATTCTTTTCGATTAATTTGTGTTGAATACGTTTTCGAGTGAGACTTGGAAATCTTTAGATGAAAATAAATAAATATATATATATATATTGTAGAATTATTTGGAGTTTAGTTTGAATGCATATTTGTCTGCGTGTTAGAGGGCTGAAATTAAGGAAATCCAGAGTTAAACAGATCAGTATTTTGTTCCATATTTTTAGGGTATTCTGGTAGCTTGTTATCATATATGTATATATTTATTTCCTGTTTATTTTTTTCTGTTTTAGATAGATTTGACCCTATTCTAGGTAAGTTGTATATATCCCTAGAAATTAGGCGTTTCCGCATCTATATATAGGGAACGTGTAACATGTTTTAATATATTGAAAATAATAAAGAATTCCTCTACTTTCAACATGGTATCAGAGTATTCTCTGAACCCTAAATCCCTCATATGACCAAATACGGCAGAAGCGACTCAACTGTTTCCGTGTCTCAAATTACCTCCAACCAGGTAGCCATGGCCTCCAGTAACAGTAGTGGAGATAGCAATCTCATGCCCATTACAGGACACAAACTGAATGGGAACAACTATCTCCAATGTTCTCACTCTGTTATGATGTTCATATGCGGAAGACGAAAGGATGATTATCTCAAAGGAGTGGCTGCCAAGCCAAGCCAGGATGATGAGAAGTTCAAAATCTGGAATTCCGAGAATAATATGTGTAGACACCCGTTTTTGTCCGGGTTTTTTATCGTTATTTTATTATTATTATTATTATTTATTATTATTATTATATTATTAATATCAAATATTACACTTTTGCAGGCTTAGAAGCCCAATTCAGATTACAAAGGCCCAATCCCGGAGCCCAACAATCAACCCATCATATTAGGGTTTCAAACCCTAAATCAGATTAGGGTTTCAAACCCTAAAACAGATTAGGGTTTCAAACCCTAAATGTTCCAGCCGCCTCGTTTCTGGCCGTTGGATCTGGACTCATCCAACGGTCCAGATCACGCAGAGCTTAGGGTTTGAAACCCTAAAATATTCAGCTCAGCCGTTTGGCCTTCCAGCTCCAGCCGCCGCTTGACGTTCCAGCCTCTCAGCCGAGTGAGTGCCGCCGACGATCCCAAGCCACCGCCGTTGTCATCCAGCTTCCAAACAGTAACTGAACGTCATCCCCAGTGCCCAAATCAGTCAAAAAAATATATCAAATCTAAACCCATTAAAATATCATTCTAAATCCCGATTTTTTCGGGATTCAATCGTACCAATCAGAGAAACAATCCCCATACCCCGTAGGCTTCATGATTTCATTCAAAACCCCTAATAAATCAAGCATGCAACCAGACAAGAGGGGTATTCAAGGGTGATAACAAAAAAAAGAGGAGGCATTCGGTAAAAGGAAAAAAAAACAGAGGAAAGAAAAGAAAGAAACCAAGAGAAAAATCATCCATCCCATTCAAACAAAAACACGAAAAAACAGAGAGAGGGGAACCCATACCTTGATCGGAGGAACCATCGGAAGTCCAAAGGGGTCGTTGGAGTCTCGGTTTTCCGTGAGGTAGATCCTAAATCTAGGGTTTTCTGTTTGGATTTGGGGTAGGGGACTTTAGATTTGGGTTGAGAGCTAAGAGAGGAGTCTTTTGGAGGCTTCTCTCTCTCCGGCCGCCGTGAGTTCCGCCGTGGACTCCGTCGGTGGCGGCCAGAGCCCTCGTCTCCGGCGAGAGAAGTTGAGAGATTTCTCAACTATATCTCTTCTTTTTTTGTTTCTGAAAGAGGAAAATGAGGGAGATGAGAGGTTTAGCCCGTGTATGGGGCTTTTAATTCCCCATCTGAAACGCAGTCGTTTTGCCCCCAATATCATCTGATTTTTTGAGTTACGGGATAACTACTCTTTGGTCCCTGATGCTTTGTAACCGTGTTATTTAGCCATGGAATGAAGTTTACATTATTTCAATTTGAGCCTTTATCTTTTCATTTTCATATTTTAGTCACTATCCTAGGTTATATCATTTTTGTGTATATTTGGTTCTGGGTTCAATATTTATAAATGTTACATCTTAGCCACTGATTTAATATTTCATGTATGTTTCTTTGATATTCGAATCTGGCCATCCCATTTTTAAATATTTTATTTTAGTCCTATTAATGTATGTTATGTCATTTTTGTGAATATTTGACTTTTAGACATTATGTTTGTAATAGTTTCATTCTAGTCCTAAGTTCTTGTGTTGTGATATTTTGTGGATGTTTGAATTCAGCCATCATACTTGCAAATGTTCTATTTTGGTCACTGTCTGACATTTTATTTAATTACTTTTTGATCCTCCATGATTCTGTGAAATTTCAATTTAGTCATAAGCTTTACTTTTGGGTTATTTTCACTTCTAGTATTTGACTGTTTAATGTTTGTGATATGGGCTCTAAATTATTTTTATTTTTATATTTAGTCCTTTAAATTTCGGTTAGTGCTATTTTTGGTCCATTAACTTTCTGTTTTTTGCTGTTTAGCCTCCTAAGTTTCTGTTTATATTATTTTAGCCTCTTAAATGTTTTATATTATTTTGGTTTGTAATATTTACTAATTTATTTTTAGACATCTATGTATGGATGTGTATTTTACTCATTACTTAATTATTTGGATTATGTAAATAATGTTTTCAATTTCATTTAATGTAAATATTTTATTTTGTATTTCCAATTACATTTATTTTCATTATATCTTTATCTATGTAAGAAATATTCGATTATATTTTCAAGAACACGTATGCGTAGAATGGGCGTAGAAAGTACCACTTGGTCGAAGTGGTACGATCCGATACGGCATTTTAACGACATAGGAACTTGCAACAAGTCGAGTATATTTTACTAATTAATTTATCCAAACGATGCAATGTGTGTTATTTTAAATGACAATTTACTTTATTTTATGTGAATGTAAATTTCAAAATTTTTAATTTGTATTCAATTCACGTTTTCAGTTAATCAATTTATTCGTATGTAAACATTGTTTTTAGTTATATTCGATTTGTATTTTTAACATAATCAATGGTAGAATATTCTTTTACGAATGAGAAATGGTTGAAATAGCTTTCCCGACAGAGGATTGCAAATTTCAAGATTTCTGATTGAGTTAAAGGATTTTCTTTAAATAATTCGAGGCAAATTAAATAAATCTCAAAAAATGGATCATAGGTTAATTTTATATTCGATTTATCATTTCCATCATTTACGACAATGTGTACGCGACACAGTACCATTTTTGGGCGCTGTGGGGGTGCTTACCCTTCCCCACACGTAACCGACTCCCGAACCCGTTAAATTTGATTTCTGGTAAATGTAGACCATTTTTGTCTTAAAAAATGATTTTTCTTAAATTTCTTTTAAAAAGACGTTTTTAGGTATTCGACCTACCTAACCCAAAGGTCTATGGCGACTCTATTCAATTTAATCCAAATTAATCCAAAATACTCAATTTTTCAAAATAAAGTCATAATCGTTTTAAAAATAATATTTAATTATTTTACAAAAAATGGTTATGACAGCTTGGCGACTCTGCTGGGGACTTTTTTTAGAGAGTCAAGCTGTATGTCGCTTACACATTGTCGTTATGGTCGAAATTATGAGTTCGAGTCTTTAGTTAATTTATGATCCATTTATTGAAGTTTTTTATTGCTTCATTTTTAATTATCATACTAACATTTTATCTTTTTGCTTTCAGCTCTGTCCAAGTTTTGTCGAGTTTTTTTCTTTCATTTTGGGTCAAAGGTAGGTATGTTCCTCCTCACACACATCACTCGCATTGGCATAACATAAGCTCTAGACACGAGCTTCGATCCAAATTAGTTGGGGTGAATGCTTTACTCTCGTAAGAATTTATTCTTCGTATGAGTTTTAGCAAATAACCCATGGGATACATACCTTATACCTTCGTAGGGATTTATTCCTCGTACGGGTATAAGACAGTGAATCCCCTCGAATTGAACTCGTTCCGTTTGAAACCTGTAATGGGTGAGGATCGAGGGTCTGGCAGCCCAAGGGGGCACCGACATCAGGGACAATTCGAGTCTTTTTTTTTCGTTAGATCCGAAACCAAGCATATAGTGAACCGTCGAACGATCACCCTAGGTATAGTTATATCGAACCTCTGTCCGTCAGTAGGTACCCAAACTAGGTGTACACAAAGGAGGAGTGTTTCTAAACCCTTATCTTTTGTTTAATTTCGTAGAATTTGTTTTCTTTTTGAATAAAAGCATGCGAACTAGATACCATGCGGTTAGGACCAATTTCTTGAAAATAGATCATTTTGGGTAGATAGCATGTCCGGGTAGGATTGTTATTAATTGAAAGCATGTTTGGGCAGATATCATGACGGGGTAGGTGTTATATCCATCTCTGAATTACATTTTTATTTGTATCAATTATTTTACATGTACTAACTTATTTTTCTCTTTTGTTTGTGTATACTAACTTATTTCTTCTCTTTTGTTTGTGTCATTTTGTCACTTGCATTGCATTGCATTGCATCATCATAATGCAAAAGTGTTGATCCGTAAGGGGATATTCGAGAGAAAATTTTCACAATAAGAGATAAAAGTTTTCAATCAAGCGATCGCATACACAGACATGCATCGAGGGCTAAAAAGAAGTCCAGAGTACAAGAATGAGATTTTCTCGAAGATCGTGCATCATTCGAGACTGATATGATAATCCACTGATCTAAGGAGTAATCCAGCAGTAGATTCTCATCCACAATTATTCCATCGTTAACCATCAGGGAGTGAAGCACAAACTTCAGCATAGCCGAGGTATTAATGGAGTTAGTTTACAGAGCATAGAGGGGCATCGGTTCCAAGTACAAAGATCCGAGACGAAGCAGTGAGCTCGAAGATCGTGCATCATTCGAGACTGATATGATAATCCATTGATCCGAAGAGTAATCCAA